TTGACTTTTTGATTCCAATCTAACATATTTCAAAACAGCGAAAGAGATGCAATGAAGTGATGCAAGCATTAATTTAAAAAAGAAAAGTTAATTTTTTTTTATAGATCTTTTTGATCACTTACTGTGACAAGCGGAAGTGACGACTGACGCGTTTAACCCAAATGGTTTTGCCTACCCCTCAAGGTCTATTACTCATAAAAGTTTAGTGTTTTAATCTTTTACCTGGTTTTGAGATCTCGCTCAGACAACTTCACATTTTGAGGACAGGAAAACATGCGACCGGAAGTGAATTTTTGAAAGATATTTAAGATTACTCTAGACATTTGCAGTCTGAATAACATATTTAAAATTCATTTCAAATACTTTATCTAGAAAAAAAATATTGATGGGAAAGTAAAATACTCAAATTATGTAGTTTTTCTCTTATAACCGGAAGTTGTCGTTTTTGTTTCCGGTGGGACCAACACCTTTCGAATCTGCGAAAAAGATGCAATAAAGTGATGCAATTTTTATTTAAAAAAAGAAAAGTTGAAATTTTCGATTTCTTTGATCACTACCTGTGACGACCGGAAGTGACGGCTGACGGTTTGAACCCAAATGGTTTTGCTTACATCTTAAGATCTGTTGCTCATATAAGTTTGAAGTCTTAATCTCTCATCGTTTCCGAGATCTTGTTCAGACAACTTCTCATTTTGAGGACAGGAAAACACGCGACCGGAAGTGAATTTTTAAAAGATATTTGACATTACTCTAGATATTTGCAGTCTTAATAACATATTTAAAATTCATTTCAAATACTTTATCTACAAAGGATATTAATGGGAAAGATTGATTGATTGATTGTATATTGTTTTACGTCCCATTCGAGAATTTTTCACTCATATAGAGACGTCACCATATACCGGTGAAGGGCTTCAAATTTTGACCTTTACTCGGCACTCAGGGCCATTGAGCAGTGAGGGATCTTTATCGTGCCAACGCCTGCCGTGACACGGGGCCTCGGTTTTTAAGGTCTCATCCGAAGGACCCGCAACTTTCACTTCAAAGTGCCGAGCGCATGGCGAAGGAACAGTTGCTACCTATTTTTTATCGACTTAGGTCTGTCGCGGCCGAGATTCGAACTCACGACCTCCCGATCACGGAGCGAGCGCTCTACCGACTGAGCTACCGTGAACGGTTAATGGGAAAGAAAAATACTCAAATTATGTAGTTTTTCTCTTATAACCGGAAGTTGACGTTTTTGTTTCCGGTGGGACCAACATATTTTGAAACTACAAAAGAGGTGCAATAATGTGATGTAAGTATTGATTTAAAAAAAGAAAGTTGAAATTTTACGATTTCTTTGATCACTTCCGTAAACGACCGGAAGTGCCGACGATGAACGAAAATGCGATTCTGCAAATTTAGAAGTCACGTTCTATGCTCTCCAAGAAGTCTCCAGTTCATATCTTTATCCATTTTTGAAGAAAAGGGGGACAAAATTTCATTTTAAAATCAGGAAATTGCCCGTAACTTGGAACCAAAATGGAATTTTCCAAATTTTCCTTGTGATGAAACAAGTTCATACAATGACTAATTTTTCCTGAAAGTTTCACGGAAAACCACTGAATAGTTTTCGAGAAAACGCCTGCACAAAATTTGGTCAAAAAAATAATAATAATAACTAGATACTCGTTGCGAGCAACGAGAGGTCTTCCGTCCGAAAAACTATCCTTGTGTGTGATATTCTTGGCATATAAAACAAGCATTCTGAGAGTATTGCATTAGCAATACTAGTCCCCTACCGGCAAGTGTAATCTGGTTCCCGTAAGAATTGAAAATGCCATAATTCCGTCAAAAATTAATGAAGCGGGATGAAATGCAAACTTTATCTATAACTAATCAAGGTAAAGCCACATACCAAAAATCAGCTCAATATCTACAAGCGTTTAGAAGAAAATTGCGGAAAACCCGTAAAAATTGAAAAGGCCGTAATTCCGTCAAAAATCAATGAAGCGGAACGAAATGCAAACTTGATCTGTAACTCATCAAGATACACTCACATACCAAAAATCAGCTCAATATCTGAAAGCGTTTAGGAAAAAAGTGCGGAAAACCAAGGGGGACAGACTGACAGACAGACAGAGGGACAGACAGACAGAGGGACAGACAGACAGACAGACAGACAGACGGACGGACAGACTCAGAGGAAACCTATAGTCCCCTCCGGTTTCACCGGTAGGGGACTAATTAAATTTATATATATGCTCTAAGTAAAAATACCTAAAATATAACACATATGCACATGTAGGTCTTTCAAAATACAAGAGTTTTAAAGATTTTTTATTGAATGAAAATAGGGCAGAATTTACACAGAAAAAAAACCCATAATATATATAGGTGAAAAAAATAAAATGGGGAAAACGGATTAGGACGGATTAAACACAGATCATCAGATGAAAATTTAATTCGGAAACCACTACACCAGCGCAATGTACACGTTTTCAGCGATGTTTACTTTGCACTCATTGCCTGAAGTAACGTGCGTCAAGCAGGTTAATTTTTTGTCATAATGCGGAATTATAGGATGAAAGCTAGTTAGATAAATTTCATGAAAGCAGATTGACATCGGAATTTGCTACTTGAATTTTAACAATTACTTTTAGTAAAAGAAATAATCTGTTACAAATGAAAACTACTGATGTCTTAACGTTCTTTATTCTTTATGCATTCAGCGTTTTATTACATGCAATTCTTAATAGAGACGTATCCGTGTAATTTTTCTCTGCACTTCAGTCAATTTGTCTACTAAAAAGGCGAGAACGATATATCATTCCACACCAAACGTCACGAGTAAAGCCTTTTTTGGAATGTGTGTTTTATTGAACGGGAGTGAAAGTTTCAATAAAATATAAAAATCTGCTGTTATAGCCTGATGTTTTAGCTTTAGAATGTACATTTATGGCATTATACATATTGTATATGGGCAAGTAACACTAAAGCATTTCATTTGCAATGTTTTCCTACATAATTTATTTTCCTGTTTACCTAAAAATTGGAGTATTCCGTTTAGTTTATACATTTTATAAAAAGACTGGAACGTTTTGCAACAAGACCTTTTGTAAAGTTCTCTAAATACAAGTGCACAAAATTTGTCTAAAAATAAGAGTAATTCTTAGAGTTTGGATTTATCAATTTCAAAACAAATCAAATATTTTGCAATTAAAAAAGAGTCTCTATTAACCCTACTTAAAGTCTCTGAATACTTCTCAAGATATTGCGTGCACAAAATTTATCGAAAAAAAATCTATTTTTAAAACTACTTCCGGTGGACATTTTCTAAAACAAATCATATATAACATATTTCAATAAGTGTCTCTATTATCCCTATGAAAATCATAGAAAAATATTAAGAAAGAAAAAAGTTGAAAATAATTGATCTTTTTAATTCGCTTCCTGTAGCGACCGGAAGTAATGACGACGCACGAAAAGGAGATTCCGCATATCTAAAAGTCATGCCCTTTACTCTCTAAAGAGTCTCCAGTTCAAATCTTTGACCATTTTTGAAAAAAAGGGGCGACAAAATTTCATTTTAAAATCAGAAAATTGTCAATAACTTGGAACCAGAAGCGAGGTGTTCAAAAAGTCTTCCAAATGTAACAATGGCATTTAATAACGCATTATCCCCAAAAGTTTGACAGAACACTATTGAATAGTTCTCGAGATATCGCGTGCACAAAATTTGTCTAAAAAATAAGAATAAGAAACAGTAGAATCACTATAAGGTCTTCCGCAAAGACGGAAGACCTTAATAATAAGAAACAGTAGAATCACTATAAGGTCTTCCGTGAAAACGGAAGACCTTAATTAATTCAAGAAAATTTATCAAAATCTCTAGGATAGAAATAATTAGACACGGTCTCGTTAAATGCGATAGATTACGTTAAGGAGGTTGGATCCTGCCATCAAAAGTAATGAGAATTTTTTATCAAGTATATTTTTAGAATTTACACACTTAGCTTAATTAAAAATCAAAACAAAAATTGGGGGTCAATGCGCTTCTTTTGGCGCTAAAGAGCATTTAGTTTGACCTTTTTGCACTGTAAATACGTCTTACACATAAATCAATTTGTAAAGTTTTTCCTCCAATATTTTTTATTCAAATAAATTATGGGAACAAACACAGTCCTATTTCATTTTGAACAGACACATTAAAATTTGTGACAATGAAAAAAATTTGAAATTACTCCGTATGTTCAATTATTTGACCTTTTTGCACTAAAAAATTCCATTTTCCTGGCATTAGAACTTTAACACCAAAAAAATTATTTGAAAGTAATGACATTTTACTGAAATTAAGAAGAATGGTTCAAAGTATCTTATATATTCAGAAAAGAAAATAAAAAGTGGGGGTCTGTGATGTAAATTTTTAGATATTACTAAAATAGTGCTAATTTTAAGCTTAAAATAGGGATATTTTTTTTTTATTTTTACAATATATTTGCTATATTTATCAAATATGATGATAGAATTCATGACAGTTTATTTAATATATAATTTAGGACCAGTATAAAACAGTTCACTGCACAAAACAACTCTTTGTGTAGACTGCATGTAAAAATAGGAATCCAAACTTAACATACTTTAAATACTTCGAAAGAGAAAAAATGATCATTTTCTTCTAAAAAACCTTCTGCCACAAAAGATAGTTCCTCACTTAATGCTTTTGGTATGGAATTTAATCATGGAGTTTTAACTGAATATAGTTTAATTGGCATTGTAGAATCCAATTTTATTGCAAGAATTAAAACATTAATTATGCAGAATTTTTAAAATATAGGTTAAGATATAATTCTGCTCAATAGCTCAGGAGCGAACCTCGTTAAAACGCAACGGTTTGTGCTTAAGCTCAATACCTTAAGTATAATTCTGTGTGTTCGTATTGGAGGAGTTCAAATGGTTCAGATCGTCTGACTTAGTTGAAATTTTAGGAAATTAGATGTTCTGTAAATTTTACATACCAGGACAACAACTCTTCCGATGGTATTTGTGTATGGGAGGTTTAAATAATGCATGGCTGGATTTGTCATCTCTATAGGATATTTATTGTAGTCCTTTAAAGTTACTGCAGCAGCCCATGTATCATCTTCATGGAAATAGGTTGAATTGACAGTGATGTTCATCTGACATTTCTAGAAAATTATAGAAAAATTTTTTTTTAACATACTCATAATACTTCTCTTTTTAGTACATTCAGTCTAAAGTGCATCTCTTTATTCCAGAAAATGGGCTGATGGTAGAGAGCTAGTGCATAAATCCCTTTAAAACATATGTCGTTGCTTCTTAATACCACAAAATATAATTGTTTATGAACTAATTCATCATGTTTATAACACAAACACCATGTGCAAATCAAATCGACTAGACAAGTACACTGTTCGGGAAATTTCAGAAGTTGTTAGATCTAGCTAGAAATATTACAAAGAGGGTACAGTTGAGACAAATATAGCAGGAAAGCATAGAGACGTCGCGCACGCTATTTGGTTTAAAAAGTCTTAATTTCCATACCGGTTGCATTTACGCTATATTTACATTTTGGAAACAGTTAACCATATGAAAGCTACATGTACATATCATTCAGTCGGTAACTCTTTACTTAAAACAAATTAAAGATTTGTCCGAAAAATCAATGTATCAAATATATTAACTCGACTATAATTACATGTACGTCCATAAAGCATTAGACAGGTCACAAACATCGCACATACAGTAGCAAAATGCTGATTACTTGTATAAAATAGTCATTACACACATAAAATTTAGGGGAGGGGGGGAGAGAGATTAATAATTTGATGTTAATAATGTACGTCATTATAATTGTGATGTCATTCAATCCGTTTCAAATAGCAAACGCAAAAAAAAAAACAAAACAAACAAACAATTAATTATTAGTAATGGAATGCATTGTACATTTACATATTATGTAACAACCTACTATTATATACTTTTTCTTTCGTCAAAAGTTAGATTTAGAAAAAGTATTCTAATGTTACGTAATTTAATGTCATTTTGGCCTTACCGAGATTGACACATATTGCTTGCGCGACTTCTAATGGGTAGCTATAGTTAGCCGAAGTCAAATGGATTTGGAAAGCACCCCCCAAATATATCATATATATATATATATATATATATATATATATATATATATATATATATATATATATATATATATATATATATATATATATATATATATATATATATCTTAAATGGAAAACTGATGCCCCCCCCCCCCCCACAATTGCAAATTCCTTCATTTGAAAGAAAAGAAATGTACCGAAAAATTTAAGAAAAAATCTACCCCTCCAACCACCCGATAGATAGAATTCTCAAGTCAGGGCTTTTTCTTTTGCTTAATAATTTTTTCCCCGGAGAATAACCCCATACCCCTCCCCCTTTGGAAAAACGTGGCTACGGGCCTGAATAACTCTAACTGCACTATAAAACCACAGTTTTGTGCAGTGTGTAGAAGGTTTCTAAAAATATTATTTTAATATATTTTCATTTGATCAAGTGTTTTTGTACTAAACTTGATTTAATTTTAATGCCATTTCCTCTCGCGTTGAAATATACATGGTGAAACTGGCGCTAAAGTGACGTCACAATGAGGCGTATATTTACATAAATGTCCTTTCTATTGAGCTATTAACAAATTATGTGTTTTTTTTAAAGTAGTCCTTATATTATAGGCAACAGTAATATCTTATCCTTAATGTCAATGAAAACATGATGACCTTGACCTGACCTTGTTACTTAAATCCCTTTTTAATAATAAAAAAAACAAGTAACGATAAAGGGCAGCGAGAAATTCAAATATTCAGAATTTTTGCTGCTTTTAAACATGTAAAATGTAAATCTAAAGAATGTTTTTAAGTGTAGTGTGAATAGGTGTGTAAATCACACAGACTTGCACGTAGGCATATTTGTCATGAAGCGCTAGAGCGCTTCATGAAAATGTCTACATGACAAGTTTGTGTAATTACTACGGAAGCCGGTTGGTGCCAAGTAGAAAAGATATTTTATCTGGCGGCCGCCAGAAAATTATTTAGCGGCCGCCACATAAATAACTGGCGGCCGCCAGAAACTTATCTGACAGCCGCCAAATAATTATCTTGCCGCCGCCAGATAACTTTTTGGTGGCCGCCAGATAAGTTATCTGGCGGCCGCGACTTATTTATGTGGCGGCCGCCAGATAAAATATTTTTCTAACTGGCACCTACCGGCTTCCGTAAATTACAAACCAGTAACTTACATAAAACTTAAAAACATCCCGTAAGCATAAATCAATTCATACTTTTTAGTTTTTGTTATGTTGTGATGATAAATTATAATTGCTCTTTCTATTTACTGTGTCAAGTTTTCTTCCTTTCATGATAAGATATTTATTTTTTTCTGATAAAAAAATAAGCACGGCTTCATACTTCATACTATTTTTCCATTTGAATCTGATGATATTAATATCAAGAAAATCAATGTTAGAAAAATAAAAAGAAAAGAAATGATGAAATTTAGAGCTGATTGTCATCACATTCTATATACACCATGTTCATTAAGTATATTTTTTGGATTTCTTTAAATATACCTTTGCTGCATTGTAAAATACAATATTTTATACAATACGTACATAGCTATCAAGAGAGAAGAGGCCTTGCCGCCTTAAAGCTAATATAAATGGTCCAATCGTTAAACTTTCGATGAAATGGGATATTTCACAACGTATTGCATCTCCATCATTGTCGATAGATGTTAAATGTATCGTGTAGATCTTCCCTAACTCCAAACTAAAAACAAAATCAACACAATGAATGTTCTTCACTACGGAATAATATGTCGAGATCTTATTAACATATGACTACAACGATATGTCTGAAGAAAGTCTTATGACCTTTTTTTCTTCTTTTTAAAAATTATTTTATTTTTTCAACACAATGCATTATATACAAAATATCCATTATCTTTTCTATAACAGAACTGTGCATATATAGACTTAAAAGAGAGAGAGAGAGAGAGAGAGAGTTACAAAAATAGTTGGTTCCACCTGTTCCACTTTAAGTGTCAAATTTCTCTTGTTCACCATTTTATACGATATATATATTTTTGTTTTTGGTAAAAAAGACTCAAGTGTGATATCGCACATTTAGAGGTTTTTCAGTACATCTAGAGGTATAAATATACTATTTTAACCATAAGATTAAGATATCAGCTGTTTCATTATTTATAATTTTTTTTCCTCCAATACCTAAAATAAATTATTTTTTTTATGGGCATCTAAAGGTTTCTCTGATGGAGATAATATTCAAAGTTTTCAAGGAGTGATTGTGCAAGATCACATTCCCATAGAAAAGGTTCAATTGTCTCTTCTTCTCTTTCACAAAAATTACACTGCTTAGAAACTACTTTTCTGATTTTGAATATCCAAGTCAAAAAATTCAATCCACTTTTTGTAACCAGCTGTTATATAGAGGAATTTTGATTTAGAATTTCATAGAAGTTTTTTGATTTTTTTGCATTTTGATACAATATAAAAATCAGACATAATAAGATTTTCTAAATTTTGTAAATTTTTATCAGAATTGCTCCTCTTTATCCAAGGTTTAAGTGCATGGATTAAGCTATCTTATGACCTAATGAAGAGATGCCACAGAAACTCAAGATGGGGGAGGAGGGGGAGGGGTGGCTATAATACTTTGCGACTTACTTCCCTGTAATCGATAGGTGTGATCACTGTGACCAAACCTAACTTCCTTATTTTCAATGGCAGTGTCTGTGTATCGGATGACAATGTAACTTTATTGAAGAATTTCCGATAAAAACAAAACAAAAGTTAGAAAAAGTATTTGTACCTAAAAGTATATTAATGATAATTTGTTGAATTTCGATATATGAGACCATGTAAAGGGTCAATGTTGATTGCTATCTAAAGCATGTAGATTATTAAGCGAGACTATGTGTTTTATGCTGACGGTGATTTATATGTGAAGGATAAATCATCAAACTGATAAAAAGGTGTTTTCGAAATATACCCAGTCATGAGAGAGAGAGAGAGAGAGCGAAGCATCGCATTTATTCCTTTGATATGAATGTAAACTTGTACATGTAAATAAAATAAGGTTTTAAGCAAAAAATAGCTTCAATACTAGAATGAGAGATTGATATCACAAAGAATTATTAAAGATAGTCATGCTGTTATATGCTTTATACTCTCACATACCTGTATTCTTTCTGCTAATCATTTACCTGTAGAAAGGTTTTACAAGAACCTCAGGACTTCTGTTTGGTCTGTTCGTATCATTTCTTATACCAGGATTAACTTTTACCTGGAGATGAATATGCCGGGTCCTTGGTAAAAGTGTCATTACATCATCTATTGTGCCATCAAACCTGTCAGTTGAAACCACAGATACTTTTTATGTAATAAAAAGGTTTAAAAATTCAATTCAATTATTAAAACATTGAGGTAAAAAACAAATTTTAAATTTATTTACGTTATACATGTATTTTCTTTGAAAACATTAAATTTTTGTATGTAATTTTAGAAACAGATTTTATCAAATCAAAATCCATGATCATATTCCGCCACAGAGAAACCAACTGCAATGTAATCTTTGACCCTTGAACACATGGCCAAGGTCAATGGTCAAGATCACTTTAATTTGTTGAAAAAGGATGTATTCGGAATTTCAAAATATTTGACCTATAAGAGAGAAAAAAATTTCCAGGAAAAAATAACATTTAGAAATCAATGTTCATAAGATATTTTCTATCGTATATTTGTTTAAATTTTTCAAATTTGCATTTTGAACCTAAACTTTAAAATTAAATTTCAAAGTTGGCCAAAAGAGCTTTTTTTCCCGTGAAAGCACCGATTTTTAAGCGAATTTTGGTCTTGAAGTCCTTTATGGAAGGCTTGTCCCTAAATAAAATTATGCTATTTTGATAGTTTATGATGTAAGGAATAATTTAAGATGGAGTTTTTTTTAGGAACACCCCTGTCCTAGAGTCGAAAATCACAAAAATAAAATACAAAAAAATAAGGAAACCTGTTTTTGACAATCTGGTTCACATTTTAATATGACGACTATATTTATAGTACGTATATCCGTTGAGTATTAACACCAAGATTTTTTTAGAGTCGTGGATCGAATCCACCTGGTGCCACACTTTTATAATATTAAATTCTCGCCTTTTCAAAGACTATTTTCATTTTATTTATAGCAATTAATTATGCAATGTAAATAATATTGGACTAGGCTAGTACATTCTTTGAAATATGAGGCTGTAAAAACAAAAGAATGACGTCACAAAAATATTTTAAGTGTAATTCGATACAGGTATTCTTGCTTGAAATGAACTGCGATGGATTTCTATTGCATATATCCCTTAGAATTTAAACACGTTGCTTTTACTCCGTCTGCACTACTAGTGCTTGGCTGGGTTATTACGCTGGCAAGTATGTTACGTATTGTTTATATTATTTGAGCTTAATATATTTAGAATCACATACATGTACTTTTGTACTGAGTCAATGTTCTTAACTTAGATCTCAACTTTTGAAACAAAGGGGTACATATCAGTATCTGCTCTTTCTTGGATTTCATTTGTATAATTTGCATACATTAATGGTAAGTTTTGGTGTTTCCATGGAATTGTGTTGTAAACTAAACACATAATTATTAGTATCAAGAATAGAATTTAGTCTATAGACATTACCATTATGAACAATGAAAAGTAAACAAAAATATCAAATATTTCTAGATAACAAACTCAAAATGTGTTGACATTATGAAATGATTTATATATGAGAAACAAATAACTACATGTGAATGTATGTAGCCTAAGGTCATTGATCGTAACGAAAATCGACAAGCTTTTTGTAAAGAAGAAAACCAATCCCGGTCCTATAGGTCAAATAATTAGGTTTATCTCATCTGGATAAGCCAGGTTATTTCGAGCACAATATGCTTCTTAATTTTTTTATGGTCAAGAAGGATAACTCTAATTTCTTTCGTGCAACTAATTTAGCATCAATGAGCATGATCACTGTCAGCTTCCTTACTCTTCCGTCATTCTCCAAAGCTACAGGCCGGGAACATTTTGGTACAAAATTTTATCTCGCTCATCGGCAAATTAAAGAAGGTATCGGTACAACAAGAAATTTCATGAGCCATGTTACGAGCGAGCAAGATTAGGGCCTCGAAGGCGAGGAGCCCATATGCAAGGGCCAAAACTACTGGAGTCAACATGCCTTCCATAACACCAATTCAAGATGTTAGTACGTCCATACAACCAGAGACTTCCACAGTGGTAGTTCCCATATCATCTACATCAAATGCAACTTTCACGTCACCGGTCGCCGGAATTGCCTCCACCGCAGGCTCGAGCAGAACAACACACCGGCAGACGAATTCTCAAGCTGTTCCAGCAACCGTCGCCTCAATTATTGACACAGTTGCATACCAAAAATCAACTAGTCAATCAGTTCCAACATGTACAAACAATTATAACGTTGAAATGCCTATGACTTTTCATCGTGTTGTTTCGCCATTAGAGGCTTATGACCCCCAAGGTATAAAAGATAAGATATTGAACATAAGATAACGAATATGTTCAATTAAGTAAATTGTTAATTTAAAAACCAACATCAGAGGTTCAACATCAGGTCATATTTCAGGAGAGTTCATTTCAAATTAACCCTGAATATAAAGAAGAAAAAATTCAAAATATTTCACAGTGGGCAGATGCGTTTTTGATAATGCATCAGTCTTTTGCATCAAACACCCAACATGCTATGGGTTTGTTTCGTTATATTGCCACCATCAGAAATGCAGCAGAGAGGTCACCTAATACTTTAGGTTTGAGGGAATATGACGTTCAATTTAGACTTAAAAAGTCCATTGAGTCTTCCTTGAATTGGGGTTCAATAGATGCAGAATTGTGGCTCTTTTATATGCAGCCAATTAATCAATCCAAGTTAAATATCAACCAACAAAAACAGTTTAAGTGCTTTTCATACAATTATCAGGGTCTTTGCGAAAAACCTAATTGCAAGTATTTACACCTTTGCTTACAATGTAATGGGGCTCATCCTTCTATGAATTGTAGGTTTGGCCACGACAGTCAGAAGCCACCTATTCTCCCTGCCCAACAAGCCCACTACAGGCCTAGATTCCCATAGCAGCAGCCTCGTCAGAAATTCATGTAATTTATTCAATAGATTATGGGACCTGGGTAATACCCCTGTAAAAGTTAACAACCTGCTCACACTGCTGCATCATTATCCAGATAAAAATGTGGCACATTTATTAGATAATGGTTTTAGAAAAGGGTTTTCATTAAAATATCAGGGATGTAGAAAAAATGTAGATTACAAGAATATGAAATCTGCTTCAGAACAGAGTGCAGAATTGGGAAAGAAAATAGAGAAAGAAATTCTTTTAGGTCGTATATTAGGTCCTTTTCCTTCATTGCCAATCACAAATTTACGTTGTTGTCCTGTTAGATTATTACCAAAGAACCAGGGAGGGTGACGCATAATAACTAATCTTTCATATCCACTTGGCGAAAGTGTCAATGATTACATTGATCAGCGAGATTGCTCAGTAAACTATGCTTCATTTGACAAAGCTTTAGATATTGTTCAGCAGAAAGGTCAGGGAGCCCTTATGGCAAAAATGGATATATCAAGTGCATTTAGGCTTTCACCAATTGCCCCACAAGATTTTTGCTTACTAGGTTTCAAGTTTCAAGATTCTTAAGTTATTACATCCACAAGTTTCTGCCTATGGGCTGCTAAGTTTTATGCTCTTTATTTGAATTTTTTTTTAATCTTTACTACATTGGAAATTGGAACATAGGTCAAGGCTAGACGGCATTGTGCATTATATGGATGATTTTTTGTTTGTAGGAGCCGGTGTAGAGGAGTATTTAGTTGTGCCATTAGCTATTGAGAAAACAGAGGGACCTTGTACTAGATTGTCAATTTTAGGACTGGGTATAGATTCAATAGCTAGAACAGTTTTTGCTTCCACGGGATAAAGTATCTGAATTGTTAGAGAAAATTGAGTTTGTATTTAGAAGTAGGAAAGTAACGAAAAAGGAAATTGAATCACTTTTAGGTTCGCTGGCCTTTGTGGCAAAACCCCTTCCTGTTGGCAGGGCATTTCGTCGTAGGCTGTACGGGGCACTTGTAGGTGTACACAAGTCTTTTCATTTTATTAGAGTTTCAAAAGAAATGAGACTTGACCTTGAAATGTAGGTAGAGTTCCTTACAAAATTTAATGGTTTATGTCCCTTTCCATCATTAAGTTGGCTAGATAATAAAACAATACAGTTTTATACGGATAGTTCTGGGGCTCATGGCTGTGGGGTATTATATGGTGATAAATGGAGTTTCCTGGTCTGGCCAGAGAATTGGTCGCCAGAGATAAGATATATTTATTTGCTAGAATTTATACCGATATTATTAGGTATTTATATTGTGGGAGGGGGTGTCTTCTCAAAAACTTTTGCTTCATGTTGATAACATGTCTCTTGCACACATAGTAAATAACAGGACATCTAAAAACCCAAAAAAATATCATAATGGTTTTGTTGAGGGCACTAGTATTATTATCGGACGCAGCAGCGGCAGATCTTTTTGTGGTTGTAGAAAGTGCACATGGGGAAATGAGACGTTATTTCTTTATTAGTTCAGTAAGTTAATTCTTTAATGTTAACATGTATAAAATCATGAGTAAAATATTTCAAAAACTTGCTTTAAACTAAGTCTTAAGTGTTGTTATTATGTTTCAATTTCAATTTCATTTGTCGTCAGATAATTATTAATTTATGATTATATTAAATGAGTTTACAATAGGTACTACCCAACAGGGGAGTGTGTAAGATATGAAAGCAAATCTTCATGATTTTCAGGATAATAATTAAGTGGTTTTAAAGAGCATGATGAAAAAAAATTGAAAAGTTGTTCAACTAATAAAAAATGTTATGAATATTCAACAGCTGCGATTGACATTAGGATAATTTTTTCTAAATTTTGCACCGCGTCGTGCAGCGTAGTACTCGGCAGAAATCATCGGCATCATCATGTGTCAAAGATCCACAGCACGTGGGTCATCTTGAGATCTGAATATAAACAGGCCTACATCTTCATTTTGATGACAAAAAATATGCTTGTCATTTATCACTGACTTAATTACATCAATATGAATCAATTTGATGAACAACGCACTAAAATTTCTATTTATTTATTTTCATTTTATTTTTGAAAATGGATTGATTGATTGATTCATTCATTCATTTATTTATTTATTTTTTTATTTTTATTTATTTATTTATTTATTTATTTATTTTTTTTTTTTTTTTTTTTGGCTTTAAAGACAGTT